CAACCCAACTCCAATCCTAACCCCAACTCCAATCCTAACCCCAACCCCAACCCCAACCCTAACCCCAACCCGAAACCTAACACCAACCCCAACACCAATTCTAACCCAAACCCCAGTCCTAACCCTAACCCCAACCCCAACCCTAAACGTAGTCTGGTTGGTGATTTACTGTTTCGGGTCTCAATACTGCTCTGCTTTATAAGGGTACGCCCATGCACTGTGATCGTAACTTTGACATCAGAATTACACCATTAACATCTCCAGGACATTCAAACTCGTCATGATGGGGAGTATGAGACGAGTCCAATGTTAGTTGGGTATTATTTGAGAAGGGAGTTTCATGGTCCACGTGACAAAAGAAGCTTTCAAAGCTTCAAAATATTATTGAAAACAGTCAAACCATACAAGGAGTCGAGGCACCGAGGGACATTGTCGGGACGAAGGCAAACATTGTTTCCTTGGTCAAAGGGAGGCTATACTCTTGTTGACTTGACGGTCATAGGAACAACGTTATTAAGAATTAACTTTCACTTTGTGTGAGTTCATTAGAGTATGGGGGGGGGGGGGGGGGGGGGGCACAGGAGGCCCAGTCGTCTAAGGCGCCGCGATTCACTGTGCAGAGTTGCGTCCCTTGGGCACGCCAGAAACCTATGATTGTAAAATCTTAATAACGTTTGTCAGCACCATACCCGTGCTCGTGGGTTTCACCTAAGTGGTAAACGTCTGAGACCTGCATCACTTCGGGCTTTCCTCCCACATTAAGCTGACACGCCGCGATGCAACTGGAATGATGTTAAAAGCGGCGTTAAACCCAACTCACTCACTCACTCATTGGAGTTTGAACCTTCATAGAGTGAGGGCCAAACTCTATGAACATCGGAGCTTGCGACAAACTTCAAATTAATTTGTTTTATTGAATATTGATGCACCGACATACACCATATCACGATGAGTGAACTTCATACATCGCTTGTTACGGTGAGTGAGGTGGAGTACACTGAAGTAGCACATTAGACCGGTCTATACTCAAGTTGCACCTTAATTCCGGTCTACACTGAAGTAGCACCGTAAGGCCGGTCTACACTGAAGTAGGACCTTAAGGCCAGTCTACGCTGAAGTAGCACCTTAAGGCCGGTCTACACTGAAGTAGTACCTTAAGGCCGGTCTACACTGAAGTAGCACCTTAAGGCCGACCCACACTGAAGTAGCACCTTAAGGCCGGTCTTCACTGAAGTAGCACCTTAAGGCTGGTCTTCACTGAAGTAGCACCTTAAGGCCGGTCTTCACTGAAGTAGTACCTTAAGGCCGACCCACACTGAAGTAGCACCTTAAGGCTGGTCTACACTGAAGTAGCACCTTAAGGCCGGTCTACACTGAAGTAGCACCTTAAGGCCGACCCACACTGAAGTAGCACCTTAAGGCTGGTCTACACTGAAGTAGGACCTTAAGGCCAGTCTACGCTGAAGTAGCACCTTAAGGCCGGTCTACACTGAAGTAGCACCTTAAGGCCGACCCACACTGAAGTAGCACCTTAAGGCAGGTCTTCACTGAAGTAGCACCTTAAGGCTGGTCTTCACTGAAGTAGCACCTTAAGGCCGGTCTTCACTGAAGTAGTACCTTAAGGCCGGTCTACACTGAAGTAGCACTGAAGTAGTACCTTAAGGCCGGTCTACACTGAAGTAGCACCTTAAGGCCGGTCTACACTGAAGTAGTACCTTAATTCCGGTCTACACTGAAGTAGCACCATAAGGCCGGTCTACACTGAAGTAGCACCTTAATTCCGGTCTACACTGAAGTAGTACCTTAAGGCCGGTCTACACTGAAGTAGTACCTTAAGGCCGGTCTACACTGAAGCAGCACCTTAAGGCCGGTCTATACTCAAGTAGCACCTTAAGGCCGGTCTACACTGTAGTAGCACCGTAAGGCCGGTCTACACTGAAGTAGGACCTTAAGGCCGGTCTACGCTGAAGTAGCACCGTAAGGCCGGTCTACACTGAAGTAGTACCTTAAGGCCGGTCTACGCTGAAGTAGCACCTTAAGGCCGGTCTACACTGAAGTAGGACCTTAAGGCCGGTCTACACTGAAGTAGCACCTTAAGGCCAGTCTACACTGAAGTAGGACCTTAAGGCCGGTATACGCTGAAGTAGCACCGTAAGGCCGGTCTACGCTGAAGTAGCACCGTAAGGCCGGTCTACACTGAAGTAGGACCTTAAGGCCAGTCTACGCTGAAGTAGCACCTTAAGGCCGGTCTACACTGAAGTAGGACCTTAAGGCCAGTCTACGCTGAAGTAGCACCTTAAGGCCGGTCTACACTGAAGTAGTACCTTAAGGCCGGTATACCCTGAAGTAGCACCTTAAGGCTGGTCTACACTGAAGTAGGACCTTAAGGCCAGTCTACGCTGAAGTAGCACCTTAAGGCCGGTCTACACTGAAGTAGCATCTGAAAGCTGGTCTACACTGAATTATTAACTTAAGGCCGGTCTACACTGAAGTAGCACCTTAAGGCCGGTCTACACTGAAGTAGCACCTGAAAGCTGGTCTACACTGAATTATTAACTTAAGGCCGGTCTACACTGAAGTAGGACCTTAAGGCCAGTCTACGCTGAAGTAGTACCTTAAGGCTGGTCTACACTGAAGTAGTACCTTAAGGCCGGTCTACACTGAAGTAGCACCTTTAGGCCGGTCTACACTGAAGTCGCACCTTAATTCCGGTCTACACTGAAGTAGCACCTTAAGGCCGGTCTACACTGAAATAGCACTGAAGTAGCACCTTAAGGCCGGTCTACACTGAAGTAGCACCTTAAGGCCGACCCACACTGAAGTAGCACCTTAAGGCCGGTCTACACTGAAGTAGCACCTTAAGGCCGGTCTTCACTGAAGTAGCACCTTAAGGCCGACCCACACTGAAGTAGCACCTTAAGGCCGGTCTTCACTGAAGTAGCACCTTAAGGCCGGTCTTCACTGAAGTAGCACCTTAAGGCCGGTCTTCACTGAAGTAGTACCTTAAGGCCGGTCTACACTGAAGTAGCACTGAAGTAGTACCTTAAGGCCGGTCTACACTGAAGTAGCACCTTAAGGCCGGTCTACACTGAAGTAGTACCTTAATTCCGGTCTACACTGAAGTAGCACCTTAAGGCCGGTCTACACTGAAGTAGCACCTTAATTCCGGTCTACACTGAAGTAGTACCTTAAGGCCCGGTCTACACTGAAGTAGTACCTTCAGGCCGGTCTACACTGAAGCAGCACCTTAAGGCCGGTCTATACTCAAGTAGCGCCCTAAGGCCGGTCTACACTGTAGTAGCACCTTAAGACCGGTCTACACTGAAGCAGCACCTTAAGGCCGGTCTATACTTAAGTAGCACCTTAAGGCCGGTCTACACTGAAGTAGTACCTTAATTCCGGCCTACACTGAAGTAGCACCTTAAGGCCGGTCTACACTGAAGTAGCACCTTAAGGCCGGTCTACACTGTAGTAGCACCTTAAGGCCGGTCTACACTGAAGCAGCACCTTAAGGCCGGTCTATACTTAAGTAGCACCTTAAGGCCGGTCTACACTGAAGTAGCACCTTAATTCCGGTCTACACTGTAGTAGCACCTTAAGGCCGGTCTACACTGAAGCAGCACCTTAAGGCCGGTCTATAATCAAGAAGCACCTTAAGGCCGGTCTACACTGAAGTAGCACCTAAAGGCCGGTCTAAGCTGAAGTAGCACCTTAGGCCGGTCTACACTGAAGTAGCACCTTAATTCCGGTCTATAATCAAGAAGCACCTTAAGGCCGGTCTACACTGAAGTAGCACCTAAAGGCCGGTCTAAGCTGAAGTAGCACCTTAGGCCGGTCTACACTGAAGTAGCACCTTAATTCCGGTCTATAATCAAGAAGCACCTTAAGGCCGGTCTACACTGAAGTAGCACCTTAAGGCCGGTCTAAGCTGGTGTAGCACCTTAGGCCGGTCTACACTGAAGTAGCACCTTAATTCCGGTCTATAATCAAGAAGCACCTTAAGGCCGGTCTACACTGAAGTAGCACCTTAAGGCCGGTCTAAGCTGAAGTAGCACCTTAAGGCCGGTCTACACTGAAGTAGCACCTTAAGGCTGGTCTACGCTGAAGTAGCACCTTAAGGCCAGTCATATACTGAATTATTAACTTAAGGCCGGTCTACACTGACGTAGCACCTTAAGGCCGGTTAACACTGAAGTAGCACCTGAAAGCTGGTCTACACTGAATTATTAACTTAAGGCCGGTCTACACTGACGTAGCACCTTAAGGCCAGTCTACACTGAAGTAGCACCTTAAAGCCGGTCTACACTGAAGTAGCACCTTAAGAACGGCCCAATACTGAAACAGAGCAATAAAGCGGGATCATACTGTAGCAGCGCCATTAGAGGTCGGACATGCCAAAAGTGAGTGAGTGAGTGAGTGAGTGAAACCCACATTTAACAGTATTTCTATAATTCCAATGCGTGTCAGTTTAATGTGAGAAGAAAATCCACCATGGCGGAAATATGAGACACTGAGGAGGCAATTTGCATTTTATGGCATGTTAATTAGTTTTATGTAACTGAAGATGATCGTTCAATGGCAACCGTATTTCTATTATTTAATTCTTCCTAAATCAAACGAATGTAAGGGTTCTATTCATAGCCGTGGGTGTGGACTGACTTATATGCACTGGCTACCCTAATAACCAAGTTATTAAGGAAGTAATAACCAAGTTATTAAGGAATTACGGTGGTACTACCATTACCTTCAATTGTCGTATATACCATTCATGCACCATAATCCAGCTCGTTCACGAACCTCTAAATACATCTGACTCAACGTCCTCGATGTATATTATAGTTCCAAATGATTGTCAGTGACGTCATTGAATGCCCGTGATTGTCAGTGACGTCATTGAATGCCCGTGATTGTCAGTGACGTCATTGAATGCCCGTGATTGTCAGTGACGTCATTGAATGCCCGTGATTGTCAGTGACGTCATTGAATGCCCGTGACGTCAAGTTACTTGAGACTGTAACTGGCTTTTAGTGATAGACTTTACCCCAGGAAGGTACAAGACGATATAGACGTGCTATAACGAGTGGGGCCACGTTGCAGTGATACGGAACCATCGGAGGGAAGCGCAGGATATAAACTGCCGGACACACGTACGTTGAGAGCCATGTTTGATGGTGGTGTCGTAACTGGGCTTAGAGTCCCATTTCCGTGTCCTAAGTGGGTTTAGAGACCCATTTCCGTGTCCTAACTGGGTTTAGAGTCCCATATCCGTGTCCTAACTGGGTTTAGAGTCCCATATCCGTGTCCTAACTGGGTTTAGAGTCCGATATCCGTGTCCTAACTGGGTTTAGAGTCCCATCTCCGTGTTATAACTAGGTTTAGAGTCCCATTTCCGTGTCATAACTAGGTTTAGAGTCCAATATCCGTGTCATAACTAGGTTTAGAGTCCCATATCCTTGTCCTAACTGGGTTTAGAGTCCCATATCCGTGTCGTAACTGGGTTTAGAGTCCCATCTCCGTGTTAGAACTAGGTTTAGAGTCCCATTTCCGTGTCCTAACTGGGTTTAGAGTCCCATATCCGTGTCATAACTAGGTTTAGAGTCTCATCTCCGTGTCCTAACTGGGTTTAGAGTCCCATCTCCGTGTCCTAACTGGGTTTAGAGTCCCATCTCCGTGTCCTAACTGGGTTTAGAGTCCCATATCCGTGTCCTAACGGGGTTAAGAGTCCCATATCCGTGTCATAACTAGGTTTAGAGTCCCATATCCGTGTCGTAACTGGGTTTAGAGTCCCATATCCGTGTCATAACTAGGTTTAGAGTCTCATCTCCGTGTCCTAACTGGGTTTAGAGTCCGATATCCGTGTTGTAACTTGGTTTAGAGTCCCATTTCCGTGTCGTAACTAGGTTTAGAGTCCCATATCCGTGTCATAACTAGGTTTAGAGTCCCATTTCCGTGTCCTAACTAGGTTTAGAGTCCCATCTCCGTGTCCTTACTGGGTTTAGAGTCCCATTTCCGTGTCCTAACTAGGTTTAGAGTCCCATCTCCGTGTCCTTACTGGGTTTAGAGTCCCATTTCCGTGTCCTAACTAGGTTTAGAGTCCCATATCCGTGTCATAACTAGGTTTAGAGTCCCATATCCGTGTCGTAACTGGGTTTAGAGTCCCATATCCGTGTCATAACTAGGTTTAGAGTCTCATCTCCGTGTCCTAACTGGGTTTAGAGTCCGATATCCGTGTTGTAACTTGGTTTAGAGTCCCATTTCCGTGTCGTAACTAGGTTTAGAGTCCCATATCCGTGTCATAACTAGGTTTAGAGTCCCATTTCCGTGTCCTAACTAGGTTTAGAGTCCCATCTCCGTGTCCTTACTGGGTTTAGAGTCCCATTTCCGTGTCCTAACTAGGTTTAGAGTCCCATCTCCGTGTCCTTACTGGGTTTAGAGTCAAATCTCCGTGTCGTAACTGAGTTTAGAGTCCCATATCCGTGTCATAACTAGGTTTAGAGTCCCACATTCGTGTCATAACTAGGTTTAGAGTCCCATTTCCGTGTCCTAACTGGGTTTAGAGTCCCATTTCCGTGTCCTAACTGGGTTTAGAGTCCCATTTCCGTGTCCTAACTGGGTTTAGAGTCCCATTTCCGTGTCGTAACTGGGTTTAGAGTCCCATATCCGTGTCATAACTAGGTTTAGAGTCCCATATCCGTGTCATAACTAGGTTTAGAGTCTCATCTCCGTGTCCTAACTGGGTTTAGAGTCCCATTTCCGTGTCCTAACTGGGTTTAGAGTCCCATATCCGTGTCCTAACTTGGTTTAGAGTCCCATATCCGTGTCATAACTAGGTTTAGAGTCCCATATCCGTGTCCTAACTGGGTTTAGAGTCCCATATCCGTCTCCTAACTGGGTTTAGAGTCCCATTTCCGTGTCGTAACTAGGTTTAGAGTTAAATCTCCCTGTCGTAACTAGGTTTAGAGTCCCATCTACGTGTCATAACTAGGTTTAGAGTCCCATTTCCGTGTCCTAACTGGGTTTAGAGTCCCATATCCGTGTCATAACTAGGTTTAGACTCTCCGTGTTCTAACTGGGTTTAGAGTCCCATATCCGTGTCATAACTAGGTTTAGAGTCTCATCTCCGTGTCCTAACTGGGTTAGAGTCCCATCTCCGTGTCCTAACTGGGTTTAGAGTCCCATCTCCGTGTTCTAACTGGGTTTAGAGTCCCATATCCGTTTCATAACTAGGTTTAGAGTCTCATCTCCGTGTCCTAACTGGGTTTAGAGTCCCATCTCCGTGTCCTAACTGGGTTAGAGTCCCATATCCGTGTCGTAACTGGGTTTAGAGTCCCATTGCCGTGTCGTAACTGGGTTTAGAGTCCCATATCCGTGTCCTAACTGGGTTTAGAGTCCCATATCCGTGTCGTAACTGGGTTTAGAGTTAAATCTCCCTGTCGTAACTAGGTTTAGAGTCCCATCTACGTGTCATAACTAGGTTTAGAGTCCCATTTCCGTGTCCTAACTGGGTTTAGAGTCCCATATCCGTGTCATAACTAGGTTTAGACTCTCCGTGTTCTAACTGGGTTTAGAGTCCCATATCCGTGTCATAACTAGGTTTAGAGTCTCATCTCCGTGTCCTAACTGGGTTAGAGTCCCATCTCCGTGTCCTAACTGGGTTTAGAGTCCCATCTCCGTGTTCTAACTGGGTTTAGAGTCCCATATCCGTGTCATAACTAGGTTTAGAGTCTCATCTCCGTGTCCTAACTGGGTTTAGAGTCCCATCTCCGTGTCCTAACTGGGTTAGAGTCCCATTTCCGTGTCGTAACTAGGTTAAGTGTCCCATCTAAGTGTCGTAACTAGGTTTAGAGTCCCATTGCCGTGTCGTAACTAGGTTTAGAGTCTAATCTCCGTGTCCTAACTGGGTTTAGAGTCCCATCTCCATATCGTAACTAGGTTATGTGTCCCATCTCCGTGTCGTAACTGGGTTTAGAGTCCCACCTGTATGTCGTAACTAGGTTAAGTGTCCCATCTCCGTGTTGTAACTAGGTTTAGAGCCCCTTTTCCGTGTCGTAACTGGGTTTAGAGTCCCATATCCGTGTCGTAACTGGGTTTAGAGTCCTATCTCCGTGTCGTAACTAGGTTAAGTGTCCCATCTAAGTGTCGTCACTAGGTTTAGAGTCATATCTCCGTGTCGTAACTAGGTTAAGTGTCCCATCTCCGTGTCGTAACTGGGTTTAGAGTCCCACCTGTATGTCGTAACTAGGTTAAGTGTCCCATCTCCGTGTTGTAACTAGGTTTAGAGCCCCTTTTCCGTGTCGTAACTGGGTTTAGAGTCCCATATCCGTGTCGTAACTGGGTTTAGAGTCCTATCTCCGTGTCGTAACTAGGTTAAGTGTCCCATCTAAGTGTCGTCACTAGGTTTAGAGTCATATCTCCGTGTCGTAACTAGGTTAAGTGTCCCATCTCAGTGTTGTAACTAGGTTTAGAGTCCAACCTCAATGTCGTAACTAGGTTAAGTGTCTCATCTCCGTGTCATAACTTAGTTTAGAGTCCAAACTCAATGTCGTAACTAGGTTAAGTGTCCCATCTCAGTGTCGTAACTAGATTTAGAGCCCCTTTTCCGTGTCGTTACTGGGTTAAGAGTCCCATCTCCGTGTCGTAACTGGGTTTAGAGTCCCACCTCCCTGTCGTAACTGGGTTGTGGGGACCAAGAGACCCGAAAAGACCCTACAACAGTTACCTGATCGTATTGCCGTTCCGTGTCGCCGTGGTCAGCTTCTCAAAACACAACGACTTGGACAGTGTAGGACAGGCTCGCCACCGAGTGGGTACCTGGAACGACGGAGATTCGACTCGATCAACTGACTGTAAAACCCACACCACTCTTAATGATGAAACCATCTTCTGAAAGTGGTAGAGCCTGACCGACTTTTTTCGTAGGTTCTGATACATTATTTGGATTATTTAAAAAACGTTTCTGACCATGAGCTCATTTTTGTTTCGTGATCGGAATAACACCGAGAACTACTGACCGGTTAATCATTCTTTATCTATTCTCTTACTGATCTGTATATGATCTATAAGTGATACATCTTTTATGATTAAGGGGGCGGTCGGGTAGCCTAGTGGTTAAAACGTTCGCTCGACACGCTGAAAACCCGGGTTCGACTCCGACATGGGTACAATGTGTGAAGCCCATTACTGGTTTCCCCCGCCCTGATATTGCTGGAATATTGCTAAAAGCGGCGTTAAACCCAACTCACTCACTCACTTTTATGATTAAGGTAACCTGTCAATGTCGACACAGCATCGAAGATATCACGAAAGTATCCGCCATTTTAAATGTTGAATTTGGAGGAATTTTCTGGGGTATTTGGGATGCATTTTTAACAGTGAAAGAAACAAGAAATTGTATTTTTGATGGGGATGCATTTGATTGGGTATCATATTTGTGTTTAGGACCTTAAATTTGCAGTTTGTAATGTATTGGGCAAATTCAATTTTAAAGTGTATACTTTCTTTCGCCCGACAGTTTAGAAACATGACTGGATGAATACTTCGCAATTCATTATACAGTTTAGATTCCATTTTATTAGTGAACTGAAATGTCTTCTCGTCACGCCGAAGATGCGGCTCCATAACCCACATGGGTTCAATGTGTGACGTCCATTTCTAGTGTTCCCCGCCGTGGTATTGCTGCGATATTGCCAAAAGCGGTGTAAAACTATACTCACTCATGTTTATTCACACAGAGTGGCGGGGTAGCCCGGTGGGTAAGGTATAGGCTCGTCGCTCTGAACACCCGAGTTCGATTCCCAAAATAGGCTCATTACGGGAAGCCAAGGTCTCTTCTCCTGGGGGGCGGTCAGGTAGCCTAGTGGTTAAAGCGTTCGCTCGTCACGCCGAAGACCCGGGTTCGGTTCCCGACATGGGTACAATGTGTGAAGCCCATTTCTGGTGTCCCCAGCCGTGATATTGCTGGAATATTGCTAAAAGCGGCGTAAAACGATACTCCCTCACTCACTCTTCTCCTGGATATTGCTAAACCCGATCTAATATCGAACCCATCTATTCATCCGTGAGTTTGTTATTTACATGTTATAACAGATTAGTTGAATGTTAGATTATGGGATTGAAAGGTTGACAATGCTATACATGCCTCTGTGATGGGTTGATGGTGCTGAACTATATCATAATTATTGGACTGCGAAGATCAGGAGTAAAATGGGTCTTCAGCAACCCAGACTTGCCCTAAAAGGCGCTATGTTTGTCGTAAGATACGACTAACGGGATCGGGTGGTCAGGCTCTCTGACTTTGTTGATGCATGTCATCGTATCCGAAATGCGTGGATCGATGCTCTGATGTCAATCACTGGTTTGTCTGGTCCAGACTCGACTATTTACAGACCGCCATCAGACCGCCTCCGTCGTCTAGTGGTAGAGCGTCCGCCCGGAGAGCGGAAGGTCCGGGGTTCGATCCCCGGCTGCGTTATACCAAAAGACGTTAAAAGATGGTACTTGTTGTTACCCTGTCTGGCGCTCGGCATTCAGGGGCTAAAACAAGGACTGGTCAGCTCGGAGTCAGTATACTGTGTCTGAGTGGACGCGACGTTAAACCCCATTTCACCTCACCTCACAGACCGCCATCATATAGCTGGAATAAAGGTAAGTGTGGAGTTCAACAACAAACAAACAAACGATTTCATATTGATCTGTCCGCAGGTTGCTGACAAGAGTCCGCAGCGTGCCTGGCTTGGCTGACAATGTTGACCATGGCCGGGGAACTACTTTGGCGGACTATGATCCTCGTCGCTTCCCTAAGGTACATAGACACCGAGATCTAACCTAGCACATTCCTTTTTTTTGGTTATATGTTTGTTGTTTAACGTCGCGTCTGAGGGGCCGCTATTCGCTGTGCAGACTTGCGTCCCTTGAGCACGCGAGAAACGTATGATCGTGGGTTCGAATCCCGGTTCGCCCGAATGTTTATGTTTCTAGGTCTCTTGGCACCATACCCGCACTCGTTGGTTTCACCGAAGTAGTAAACCTCTGAGATCTGCATCACATCGGGGTTTCCTCCAACACAAAGCTGACACGTCGTGATATACTAGTGACTGGAATACTGTTCAAAGCGGAGTTGGGCGGTCGGGTAGTCTAGTGGTTAAAGCGTTCGCTCGCCACGCCGAAGACCCGGGTTCGATTCCCGACATGGGTACAATGTGTGAAGCCAATTTCTGGTGTCCTCTGCCGTGATATTGCTGGAATATTGCTAAATGCGGCGTAAAACCATACTCACTCACTCACTCAAAGCGGTGTTCAAAAACCCAACTCACTCACTCAGTGTTCCATCTATGTAACTGGCAAATGAATACCCGAGTCTGGACCAGACTATCCAAACCCCAGGTATCTAACTTACAAATAATGATAGGATCCTTCTCCGCTGACGTGCTGTCCATCGTGAGTGTTGTCTGCGCCACTGGAGACGTCGACGTCGACGTCGACGTCGACGTTGTTCTACCGTCAGCATGTCCTCGTACGGATGTATTAGATGCGTAAACGTTGATGCATATGCGTCTCTGTTGCCGGGGATAGCTAGGACAGTGAGAGTTGCTGTTTTGAACACTTGTCGAAGAAGCGTGGTTCGAATCCATGTCTTAGCGAGGGGTTGTCACGGTTGTGTGGCCAATGCAGGGAAGATCTCTGACGTGGTTGTCTGGTACTGACGCCGGCATGTGTGCTACATAGTGTTCCTGTGGTGATAAACAAAGCCGATGAGGGGACACACCCGATGAAAGATCACAATATGTCATTTGCACTTGGACGTTTTGTTTGTTTGTTTTATTTATTTTTTAACGCCGCACTTTAACGCAGCAATATTCAAGCTATATGACGGCGGTCTGTAAATAATCAAGTCCGGATCAGACAATCCAGTGATTGATATCATGAGCATCGATCTATGCAATTGGGATACGATAACATGCATCAACCAAGTCAGCAAGCCTGACCTCCCGATCCCGTTAGTCGCCTCTTACGACAGGCATAGTCGCCTTCTACGGCAAGCATAGGGGGCTGAAGACCTATTCTAACCCGGACCGTCACGGGTCGCACTTAGACGTAGCATGGTGAAATCTCATCAAAACGATCGAAGGTCGTTTTTTCGGAACTCTGTAGCAATGCTATAGGATAGGATACAGACAACTGTTGAAGCATTGTCTCTCGAATATTCGCTATTCCACGAGACTGTTACTTTTGCATAGGAATATATTTACGATGCGGAAGTACGTGAAGGTTACAATAACAAACACTTTATTGTATCATGTCATACTTAATAGTCAATGCCGAAGTCGTGTTTTGGCTCATTTGTAAGTAACGTTAAGCAATGCGTATGAATACAATGCCTGAGTTAACCGCCCAATTTATTATGAAGTCCCAAATGATTTGCAGCCATGTTTGTTTTGATATGTTTTCACACTTCGGAAACCTCTGAACGTTGGGGGAACGTTAGGCAATGGCTAAGCAAGTAGGCATCACATCAAGTGGGGTCTTCTCATAAGTATTTAGTTTTAGGTTACCTCATTTGCATACTCATCGGTCATTCGTCATCCCTCGGCCCCTTCAGTAAGAAGCAAGACAACTTGTCCCCTTGTCGATCAATGTTACAAATTTGTGCGAAAATACCACAAACCAGCACTATATGTGTATGATAATCAATAGATAATAAATAATAAAGGTCTGAAAATCCTTTTGCTATATGAATAGATTATCTATACGCGTTTGGTTATAAATTAAGTTTAGAGCTGGTTTAAATCCGTAAAACTACCTCTAATTTCAAAACACAGTAGGTTTATCATCTAACTGTTTCACCATACTGAATAAGTGCTTGGAATTGGCGACCGTGTTATTATTAGAAAGCAACCAAATCAATGGGTTTTCCACGTTGACTGGCGTTTTCGTTTTGCCAGTTTGCGGAAAGACGAAACCAAGTTTATGAAATAGCACAATAGAGGGCCACGGGTCGCCTTTCAGCTTGCCCCTGAATCCCTTAGTGGTCACGAATGATTGAGAAGAAAGTAGATACAATTTTATCGGATAGTTGTATCGCATCGATAACCCAATATTTGTTTCAACCCACTTGTTAATTCAGGGTATACTCACTTGTTTAATTCAGGGTATACTCACTGGTGTTAATTCAGGGTAGACTCACTTGTGTTAATTCAGGGTATACCCACTTGTGTTAATTCAGGGTAGACTTACTTGTGTTAATTCAGGGTAGACTCAGTTGTGTTAATTCAGGGTAGACTCACTTGTGTTAATTCAGGGTAGACTCACTTGTGTTAATTCAGGGTATACTCACTTGTGTTAATTCAGGGTATACTCACTTGTTTAATTCAGGGTATACTCACTTGTGTTAATTCAGGGTAGACTCACTTGTGTTAATTCAGGGTATACCCACTTGTGTTAATTCAGGGTAGACTCACTTGTGTTAATTCATGGTAGACTCACTTGTGTTAATTCAGGGTATACTCACTTGTGTTAATTCAGGGTAGACTCACTTGTGTTAATTCAGGGTAGACTCACTTGTGTTAATTCAGGGTATACTCACTTGTGTTAATTCAGGGTAGACTCACTTGTGTTAATTCAGGGTATACTCACTTGTGTTAATTCAGGGTAGACTCACTTGTGTTAATTCAGGGTAGACTCACTTGTGTTACTTCAGGGTAGACTCAATTGTGTTAATTCAGGGCAGACTCACTTGTGTTAATTCAGGGTAGACTCAATTGTGTTAATTCAGGGTAGACTCACTTGTGTTAATTCAGGGTAGACTCACTTGTGTTAATTCAGGGTAGACTCACTTGTGTTAATTTAGGGTAGACTCACTTGTGTTAATTCAGGGTAGACTCACTTGTGTTAATTTAGGGTAGACTCACTTGTGTTAATTCAGGGTATACTCACTTGTGTTAATTCAGGGTAGACTCACTTGTGTTAATTCAGGGTAGACTCACTTGTGTTAATTCATGGTATACTCACTTGTGTTAATTTAGGGTAGACTCACTTGTGTTAATTCAGGGTAGACTCACTTGTGTTAATTCAGGGTAGACTCACTTGTGTTAATTCAGGGTAGACTCACTTGTGTTAATTCATGGTATACTCACTTGTGTTAATTTAGGGTGTGCCTCCTTGTGTCCGCGTCGTGGAACCATGAAATATTCAAAGTCAAGTTCAATCTGGCCATGACGAACACGAACGTCACTCGCGAGCAGCTCATGTCCTGCCAGATCAAAGGGCCGCAGCAGTGTAAGCGCGTGTGCGCCATGACGACAGATTGCAAGTCCTTCTTTTACAACAAACACAGTCACGTGTGTCAGTTTCACAGGGTGGTGTTTGACACACATGTCAAGGCTGCGGGACAGGGCTGGTTGCGGTATTATTCCAGATTCAAAGGTATCTTTCCATCATTTGCAACCGTTATCTTTACTTCTAAATGTTGCTGGAGGGTGAGTGAGTGAGTGAGTGAGTATGACTTTTACGCCGCTTTTAGCAATAGTCCAGCAATATCACGGCGGGGGACACCAGAAATGGGCTTCACACATTGTACCCGGGATCGAACCCGGGTCTTCGGCGTGACGGGCGGACGCTTTAACCACTAGACTACCCCACCGCCTCATGTTGCTGGGGACGAAGTCGTCTTAAGCGCCGCATCGCTGTGCACAGTTGCGTCCCTTGGGCACGCCAGAATCCTATGACTGTGGGTTCAAATCCCGGTTCTCCACGAATGTGTTTCTGGATTTGTTAGCACAACCCGTGCCCGTAAACGTCTGAAACCTGCATCACTTCGGACATTTCTCTCATATAACTGGGTTATTGTTCAAAGTTTTTAAACCCAACTAACTCACTCATTCACTGGATGTTCAACTCAATGTTGCTGGAAAATAAGGCGTAAAAAAAGATTGCATATGCAATGTCGTCAGAGGGCAATGAGTGAGTGAGTGAGTGAGTGAATATGATTGTATGCCGCTTTTAGCATGTCAGTTGTATGTGTGGTGTAAGAGAGAATTAATCGAAGATAATATGTAGCCTGTCACATTTCAGTTTTCACGAGTCAACAGTCAGTCATTTTCAAGATTGCAGTAGTGAGTGTGTGAGTGAGTTTGGTTTTACGCCGCTTTTCGCGAACGCTATACCACTAGGCTACCCGACCGCCCCAGACGGCAATGAGGTTGACATGACAGTGTTTGAGGTTAATCCGCGTGCGTTAAAGTTTTATATTCTAATAAAGTACAACAAAATTGTAAAACAAGTGGTCACTAATTAATATTGTCAGTAAACAGTTAAGAATGGCTGAAAGGGTTTTAAACCAAGTTTTATTCGACACGACATTTAAATGATCACATAAAACAAATGGCGTGATGGCTATTAGAAAGATAGATAGATGCTTTTATTCAGGTAATGAGGCCACCGGCCCATTATACACGTGCAGAGCATGATGGCTTACAAATATGACAGAGCGCTGAATTATAAGATTTACAATGCAGTGTTTAAACTGTTAATATTGGAGTAAATTATATGACACAGGTATTCCCTTGAAAATGGAATTACGTTTCTTACCAGCAAGAAATTCATATTTTGCTAAATTGTTGCAAATACTTTGATTAGTCGAGCTGAATAATAAGAACATTTTCTCACGACTTGGAAACATGTGATAATAATTGGGTATGAGATTAGACCGCAGATCAAGATAGAACGGACACACCATACAAAAGTGGAACTCATCTTCGATAGCACTTACAACACAGAGGGGACAGAAACGTTCATGTCTTGGTATATTATGATATCTGCCTGTTTCAACCATAAGACGATGATTGGATCCTATTAAACTGGGGGCAAACGAAAGTCTAAATTTGAATTTTGGATTGAACAAAACAATTACAAACGTTTCTAGACTGAAAACAGTCGCTTAAACACTGCAAACTTTAGGCGCAAAACACAATTATAAAACCATACCACACATCACCATCGAATAACCTTTTTTTGTTTGTTTCATTTTAAGCCACCATCAAACATGAGTGTCTACTTTCTTTGCCCGGCAGTGTAAAATATAAACTTTAAATTTAGTCCACAATTGTGAGTGAGTTGGTTTTAGCGCCTTTTTTTAACAGTATTCCAGTTATATCAAGGCGTGTCAGCTTAATGTGGGAGGAAAGCCCGAAGGGATGCGTCTCAGACGTTTACCACTTTGGTGAAACCCACGAGCACGTGTATGGTGCTGACAAACCTAGAAACATAATCGGGACGAACCGGATTCGAACCCACAATCATAGGTTTCTGGCGTGCCCAAGGGACGTAACTCTGCACAGAGAATCGCGGCGACAGAGGAATATAGTGATCAGAACGGAAACGACCTCAGTCATAAATATGTATGTATATTATTCTATGCGACTGTGAGCGAAACCAATGCTGTTTTCAGATGGAAATAAAGACCATGTCACGCGACTCCTGATTGGTCACACGTCGCTACGGCAGCTCCACCTCAGCAACTACTCCATGGACAACTACAACTACCTACGACTGAGAAGATTCTATGCACTGGCCTTCGTCGCGAGACAAAGAATGCTTGTGGCATCCTCACCCGATGAGATTATATCTTCACGGCTGGATGTGTTTGGCTACAAGGTTCTACAAAGTCGGAAACGATGTTCTTATATTTCTGTCGACGAGGAGAACGAGATCCTGTTCCTTGCTGGACGAATCTCCGTTCCCGGGTTAGCTAGGATGACTTTTGAGGGAGATAGCTACAGGTTGATTTTCCCAACTAACTCTAGGTATGGATCTCTGCAACACATCGCATCGACTTCAAAAGAGAAAGTAGTGTATGCGAATTGTAAGCGGACACTTCTTTCCATCACGTACCTTGGTGACGTCAAACAAGTCTTTACCCCAAGCAGCAACCTGGTTGTACGTGGCATGGCCTTGGACCAGGGCGCTGGGGTGCTGTACTATTCCACTCGTAGTGCAGTATTCAAGATATCGCTGGCACAAAACACAACTTCAATCATTACTCAGGTTGAAATTGTGCCCAATCGTCTTTTGTATCGTGATAATAAGATGTACATAACAAACGGAAGACTCGTCATCAGTTTGGACCTAAACAGCACGCAGATGATTCATAACAGAAATGTAATGGGACATGTGTCGGTACTGTGTCTTGTGCCGTGAATAGATAGTGTACATGTGTCAATATCTGTATCCTGGGTAGCTGGTAAAAGGACGTATTCGATATTGTGTATTGTATTGTGAATATCTTGCTAATGGACAGGTCTCCACACTGTCTTTTTTAATGGACCGCCTCCGTGGTCTAGTTGTAGAGCGTCCGCCCGGGGAGTGAAAGGTCGTGGGTTCGATCCCCGGCCGCGTCATACCAAAAGACGTTCAAAGACGTTGTGACCCTGTCTGGCGCTCCGCATTAAGGGGCTAAAACAAGGACTGGTTGATTCAATTGATTTAAATGACTCCGTTTTTTTCTTTTAATGCATATTGGTTTAATAACGGGACATACACTAGTCCTCCCCCCCACTTTTCATCTGTATTTAAAATTTTGAAATTACATGGAAAAAATGGTTGTTCATTTTTCTTATCTAATGTTGACCGCCTCCGTGGTCTTGTGGTAGAGCGGAAGGTCCGGGGTTCGATCCCCGACCGCGTCATACCAAAATACGTTAAAAGATGGTACTTGTTGTTACCCTGTCTGGCGCTCGGCATTTAGGGGCTAAAAAACAAGGACTGGTCGGCTCGGAGTCAGTATACTGTGTCTGAGTGGGGTATTCATGTTAAACTGCGGCATGGTATCTCGGTGGGCTGGCACTATAAATCGGCATTAGTTCGGACTAGTACAAGCAGCCAAACACACACATGTGCATGCAAGTCGCTATATAAGTGCAATTATCTGAGATGCGACGTTAAACTCCACTTCACCGCACCCACCTGTTTTATGAGTAGCGATTGGACGTGCTGACAGTTGACTCTGATTAATTCGAAGTTGCGAGATATATAACATTTCGGAAAAGAGGTAGTAACATGGGAATGAACCTTCTTTCCTGTAAACGGTAGACCCACTGTCAGTTCAGAAATAGTGATGGTCTACGCGCTGTTTAGAAATCTTTACGGGTGCTGGTTTCGTTTAAAGGTTGTACTGATGTCGAGGGGTGGTCGGGTGGCCTAGTGGTTAAAGCGTTCGCTTGTCACGCCGAAGACCCGGGTTCGATTCCCGACATGGGTACAATGTGTAAAGCCCATTTCTGGCGTCCTCCGCCGTAATATTGCTGGAATATTGCTAAAAGCGGCGTTAAACCATACTCACTCACTCACTCACTGATGTCGAAACAATAAACCATGTCGCGGACGAACCATGACTAAATATTAATGCCTCAATAATATGGAAGCAGGCAAGTTTACTGCACAACCGTACTGCTCCCTCCTAGTATCCGAAGACCCGTGAAGATCCGGTTAGGCGACTAACGGGATCGGGTGGTTAGGCTCGCTGACTGGGTTGATGTAAGTCATCGTATCCTAATTGTGTGGATCTATGCTCATGATGACAATCACTGGATAGTCTGGTCCAGACTCGATTATTTACAAACCGCCGTCATATAGCTGGAATATTGGTGAGTACCGTTTTGTAGTCACATCTTGTCAGCCTGAGGTGGAAAGCTAGGTCAGGGACGCGATACCGAACGGCTATCGTGTCTCGTTCAGTTTGCCGCATTGTATCAACACGAAGACTTGTGATAGAGTAAACAACCAGGGGCGATAACTAAAGTATTCGCTGCCGCCAACAGAGGGATTGAATGAGTATGGTTTGACGCCACTTTTAGCAATATTACAGCACGAAAGGGGCTTCACACATTGTACATATGTCGGGAATCGAACCCGGGTCTTCGGCGTGACGAGCGAACGCTTTAACCACTAGGCTACCCGACCGACCGCCCCGCCGCCAACAGAAATATGTTACGATTTTACTAGCACTTCAATCTTTTGCTGCCACTGATAATTACCACAAGTAAGTTTTGTTGTTACATAACAGTTAGAGAACCATCAAAGAACCGATGACCATCGACTGACATGACAGTTGAGTGAGTGAGTGAGTGAGTGAGCGCAATATGCGAGTGAGTGAGTGAGTGACCGGGTCAATGCGAGTGAGTGAGTGGATTGGTGAGTGAGTGGTAGGGTGGGTGGGTCGGTGAGTGAGTGAGTGGATTGGTGAGTGAGTTAGTGAGTGAGTGGGTGAGTTGGTGAGTGAGTGAGTGGGTCAGTGAGTGAGTCATTGAGTGAGTGGGTGGGTTGGTGAGTGAGTCAGTGAGTGACCGGGACAATGCGAGTGAGTGAGTGGATTGGTAAGTGAGTGAGTGGGTGGGTTGGTGAGTGAGTCAGTGAGTGAGTGAGTCAGTGAGTGGAGGAGGGAGGGACACATCGAGTAATCTGTCTCCACATGGAACCGCATTTTAGTCACATATTGTAAGCTTGATGTGAAAAGCTAAACATGTGGGGCTGGACATTGAGAAACAAAGGATACGGATCACTGATAAGGATCATTCACAAGGATCATTGACAACGATCATTGATAAGGATCTGGGATTTGAAACAGCGATTTCTAGCAGGGGGATAAAACCCTGTACATCGAAACGATTGAAGGCCTTGGGGCAAATAGGCTTCCTTTGCCCACGTTCGACCTTCACACCATGACAGAATAACGATGTGACTTGCCCGATATATCGCGATACATGTAATGACGTCTGATCGAAACAGTGCGGTAAAGACTGTCGATAGACAAGCTTCTAGATACGGTTTGTTGGTTGGTTGGTTTGTTGTTTTACGCCGCACTCAGCAATATCCCAGCTATATGACGGCGGTCTGTAAATAATCGAGCCTGGACCAGACAATCCAGTGATTAATATCATGAACATCGATCCACGCAATTGGGATCGATGACATGCATCAACCAAGTCAGCGAGCCTGATCACCCGATCCCCTTAGTCGCCTTTTACGACAAGCATAGACGCCTTTTACGGCAAGCATGGGTTGCTGAAGACCTATTCTACACTCACCAATATTCCAGCTATATGACCGCGGTCTGTAAATAATCGAGCCTAGACCAGACAATCCAGTGATTAATATCATGAGCATCGATCCACGCAATTGGGATACGATGACATGCGTCAACAAAGTCAGCGAGCCTGACTACCCGATCCCGTTAGTCGCCTTTTACGACAAGCATAGTCGCCTTTTACGGCAAGCATGGGTTGCTGAAGACCTATTCTACCCCGGATGTTCACGGGTCTTCTAGATACGACAAACAACGGGGATCAGTCCGAAAAACGTTTCGTAACCTCGTCTTCACCTTGATTATCCATCGAGCGTGTAAAGAGTATCACATGTACTGCATGTGACTCACGTCTTCATTGTGTGTATACTGTTGATTCTACGACGTCATTGACCTATTTCTACCACCGTGACGCTACAATCCGAGCCGGGTGGATAGAGGCCAACAAAAATATTTCTGTATTCAAAGTTTTTTGAGGGAGATTTAAAAGATTTCTGTTTAGTCGGTTCGTTTACCCTCAGACGGGCGTGCAATACACATCTACCACACCACTGATCAAGGGGCGGCCGGGGAGTCTAGTGGGAAAGCGTTCGCTCGTCACGCCGAATACCCGGGTTCGATTCCCGACATAGGTACAATATATGAAGCCCATTTCTGGTGTCCCTCGTGACCTTGCTGGAATATTGCTAAAAGCAATCTCATTAAAATCAGATCTTAGTTCTCGCTGCCGCTAAACAAATTTGTGAGAACTAAGATCTGATTTTAATGAGAATGTTGCTTAAAGCAGCGTAAAACTATACTCACTGACTCATTAGAGACCATGTAACGGAAATGGATATGGAGTATTCATTCATTCATTCATTCATTCATTTATTTATTTATTCTTTCATTCATTTATTAGGGTAGATTTCGTTTCTCGGTTTGTCAGCAACAGACCCCCCATCCTCACGAGTTTCAGCCAATTGTTATACATGTAAAGCCTGCATACCTTTATTTCCTTTCTCTCTCATCCGTCCCATCGTGAGATAACTGACATACTGGCCAAGCAGTATTGAACCAATGTCACTCACTAACTCCTGGTTCGGAAGGATGCGTATGTTCGAGGAATAAACTTGACAGGTGTGTGACGTATCGAACATTCAACGTGACGATGTGTTTGAAGTATCGAACATTCATCGTGACCATGTGTGTAAAATATGGAACATTCAACGTGATGATATGTGTGGAGTATCGAACATTCAACGTGACGATGTGTGTGAAGTATCGAACATTCAACGTAACGATGTGTGTGAAATATCTCGAACATTCAACCTGACGATGTGTGTGAAATATCTCGAACATTCAACGTGACGATGTGTGTCAAATATGGAACATTCAACATGATGACATGTGTGAGATATCTCGAAAATGTTTACATGACGGTGTGTTTGAAGTGTGTGAAACATCTCGAGCATTCAACGTGACCCTGAGTGGCAAATATCTATCATCCAAGTGACGATTTGTGTAAACTATCGAAGATTCAAGTGACGATCTGTGTGAAGTATCGAAGATTCAACGTGACGATATGTGTGAAGCATCGAACATTCAAGTGACGATTTGTGTAAAGTATCGAAGATTCAACGTGACGATATGTGTGAATCATCGAAGATTCAACGTGACGATATGTGTGAAGCATCGAACATTCAAGTGACGAATTGTGTAAAGTATCGAAGATTCAACGTGACGATATGTGTGAAGCATCGAACATTCAACGTGACGATATGTGTGTAGCATCGAACATTCAAGTGACGATGTGTGTGAAATATCTCGAACATTCAACGTGACGATATGTGTGAAGCATCGAAGATTCAACGTGACGATATGGGTGAAGCATCGAACATTCAAATGACGATTTGTGTAAAGTATCGAAGATTCAACGTGACGATATGTGTGAAGCATCGAAGATTCAACGTGACGATATGGGTGAAGCATCGAACATTCAAGTGACGATTTGTATAAAGTATCGAAGATTCAACGTGACGATATGTGTGTAGCATCGAACATTCAAGTGACGATGTGTGTGAAATATCTCGAACATTCAACGTGACGATATGTGTGAAGTATCGAACATTCAAGTGACGATTTGTGTGAAGTATCGAACATTCCCGTGACGATATGTGTGAAGTATCGAACATTCAACGTGACGATATGTGTAAAATATCGAACAATCAAGTGACGATGTGTGCGTGAAGTTCACATTTTTTTCTGAATTCTGAGTCTAAATTGTTTTGGGGTATTTTCGAGACAAAAACAGTGATGGGTTACTTCCAACCCTGTAATGGAGGGAACTATGTAATCACGAGTTCCAGAACCAGACAAAGACATTAATGTGGTCATATATGACACCACTATGCCTGCTGAGCTTTTGACGCGGATGCGCAAACCACAAGTCAACACCCTCAAACCACAGCAACCCTGATTCACCAGTGTCTGGTGTCTCGTGAAAGAAACCGGTTTCCACCCAGATCGTTCCAGGAAAATATTGGATGTCTATCTATAGCTAGGTCAAGGACGCGATACAGAACGGCTGTCATGTATAGTTCAGTTCGCCGCATTGTGTCAACACAAACCCTGCGATAGTGTTACTCAACGACCTGGGAAAAATTCCCACCGACAGGTTGACCTCAGGGCACGTGATGTAATACTCTGTTTAACGTACAACACACGAGAGGGTTTTGTATGTCTGTTGTTTAACGGCAAACTCAGCAATATCCACATTTTATCGAGTCTCAGGACTTATTCGTACATACCCAGTTATATATGATTCATCCTCGGTGATTCAGTGTCTTATGTCTCCACACCGTTATGTTCATTCGTGACCAGACCGCCTCCGTGGTCTAGTGGAAGAGCGTCCGCCCGGAGAGCGGAAGGTCCGGGCTTCGATCCCCGACCGCGTCATACCAAAAGACGTTAAAAGATGGTACTTGTTGTTACCCTGTCTGGCGCTCGGCATTAAGGGGCTAAAACAAGGACTGGTCGGCTCGGAGTCAGTATACTGTGTCTGAGTGGGGTATTCATGTTAAAACTGCGGCATGGTATCTCAGTGAGCTAGCACTATAAATCGGCATCAGTCCGGACTAGTACAAGCAGCCACACACACACACGTGCATGCACGTCGCTATATAAGTGCAATAATCTTGGACGCGACGTTAAACCCCATTTCACCTCACCTCATTCGTGACCAACTTGTGTTATTCCGGGACAAGCCGAACAGCGACTCCATTCGTCACCTCTCGCCCCTTTCCGTAACCTGCAAGAAGACCTATCGATGAATGTTATGTGCGAAAATACGACAAACCAATCAGAATGCGCGTATGATTTCAGTTCTTCGTCAAAGAATGCCTCAGAAATGATTTTTGATTTTACATGTCTTGCATCTTAAAATATATCCAAGACACAGTTAAATGTGTTAAATCATACTGTACAATTTAGCATGTCCCGATGTGCTTTAAATTGTATCTGATATATATATGATATATGGGGAAAGATGTGTGAACCATTACGCATCGAGTTGACAAATGTTTTAGGTATGTCCGTTTGCGCTAAGACGGAGCCAGGTCGCAAAAACAGCCATGAGAGGGGCACGAGTCGCTATTTGGCTTGTCCCGGAATAACACGAGCTGGTCACGAATGTAAGCGACTCGTGCCCCTTTCGTTGCCATGTTGTAGACTGGGTTCCGTCAAAGCGCAATTACTCGTTGCGTAATGATTCAAATCCCTCAATATATTATATTCCAGATGCTATTGAAAACACATCTGGGCCCACTTGCACAAAGCGATCTTAGCGCTACGACTATTGTAAGCCTATGTTAAAGTATGGGAGTTAAGATCATCTTAGCGCTAAGATCGCTTTGTGCAAGTGGGCCCAGGACTTACAGTGGTATACACGATGATTGAACACATTTAACTGTATCTTAGGTATAGGTTTAAATGCAAGACATATAAAATCAAAAAGTATTCCTGAGGGATTCTCTGACCGAAGCACTTGAAGTCATACGCGCATTCTGATTGGTTTGTCGTATTTTCGAACATAACATTCTTCGATAGGGGGACTAGTCTTCTTGCAGAGGGGCGGTCGGGTAGCCTAGTGGTTAAAGCGTTAGCTCGTCACGCCGAAGACCCGGGTCCGATCCCCGACATGGGTACAATGTGTGAAGCCCATTTCTATTGTCCCCCGCTGAAATATTGCTGGAATATTGCTAAAAGCGGCGTAAAACCTCACTCACTCACTCACTTCTTGCAGGTTACGATTGTGCTATGTTTCGCTTTTTTGCGAGGGGAGGTCAGGTAGCCTAGTGGTTAAAACATTTGCTCATCACGCCGAAGACCCGGGTTCGATTCCCGACATGGGTACAATGTGTGACGCCCATTTCTGGTGTCCCCAGCCGTGATGTTGCTGGAATATTGCTAAAAGCGGCCTAAAATGAATCTCACTCACTAAGTGACGTCATTTTCTCCATCTCCATGTTGTTGAACATAGGTGCAATTCGATAGGATAACCATTTTTTGTGCCGCATCATTTGAATCGGAAGCGCGGGTGAATGGGACCAGGGTCTGGAGATATATTACACCAGATAATCGAAGAAATATTGGTGAGGTCCTACGGAAACTTTGGGTTTGAAAAAAAAAGGCAAATCAAATGGGCATCACACATGTAGGGAATCGAACCCGGACCTTTGGCGTGACGATTGAACGCTTTAACCACTAGGCTACCCGAACGCCACTTATCCCCTTATTCCCCACGACGATCGACTCAGATTAATAGCTTATGCCTCATAAACTGCTTGAAAATATTATGTCCATTAATACTTGTTTACGAGCAAGGCACTGCCTGAAAATATAATAGCTCCTTGTGTGAATTAATCACTGAAGATGAAAGGACAGGATGCTTGAGTGAGTATGGTTTTACGCCGCTTTAGCAATATTCCAGCAATATCATAGCGGGGGACTCCACAAATGGGCTTCACACATTGTAAAACGATCAAAACGATCGTCGAACCACCGCAAAGCTTGGTTCAAATCCCAACTGTGATTCTCGTATTAATTACATTACGGATGACTCGCCATTTCTTGTCGGTTTTATTTTTAGCCACACTTAAACATGGCTGAATAATTTCTTTTGTCCGGCAGTGCATTTTTGAAGGTCATGGCATCTGCAAGCCGCTGTTCGTTACCATGTTTGGTTTAGGGTTGTTTTGTTGCTTTAAGTGTTTAAGAGATCGCCTTCTGCCTTAGCAATTTCGGCTGACCTGTCCCTCTTTGGGACTCCTGTGTGTGAGTAGGGTACACATTTCTTTTGCGAGTTTGGTATTCACAGAATTTTTGTTTTTTAATTGATATGATTTCTATTTTCGTATATTGATATAATTGCATTTTTATCTTTGCCTGCTCTGTTGATATACGTTCGAGTAGCTGTCCATCTCTCGGAAATAGAGTTAGTTTGGCCTTCGCTATTGCATCTCTTGGCTTTAGGAGATCTATGACAGATAGAGGGTCTTACTGTAATTCTTGTTTTAACCGAGCCCGGGCTGGGGCATGGTCTTGACATTCCAATAACACGTACGCAATGGATTCAGACTGGTTGCAAGATGGACAGTCCTTGTCACGGTGCTTTTTGTGACCGAGTCTGAGGCGTGAGGTGGCAATTTCAACATTCTTTTCATTTGAGTATGAGTTTGACTTTTGGTGGCTCTTGGGTTGACTTGTGCACAGCCATCTGTCGACATTACTTGCGTCCCACTGGGCTTGCCTTCTTTTGGCTATGTAGGCTTTGATTTAGCTTTTTATCTCTAGTTTACTAAAGGGAAAAGGCTGTAGCTCCCCTTTGTCTAGAGCTAGCTTTGCCAGTGAGTCTGCTTTTTCATTTCCATGAATATCTATGGGAGAGGGGATCGAACAAAGCTCTACCTGTTGCCCTTGGTCCGATAGTTTTGTATTTTCGTATAGAATATTATTGACTGTGTTTGACCTTGAAGTGCACATACGACTGTCTTCAGGGGTGGTTTAGGGATGGAATAATGGCGCTGTATAGCGACCTACGTCTGTGCCTCTTTGTTGTATGCAGTGAGTATGAATTGATTCAGTTGCGAGTGATCTGTAAAACTGCACTCACCGACGCTGAACATTGTGTTTGCCAGCTTGTCTGGATGACAGAACTGGTAAGTGGTGCAAGAATAGATCCAACTGATCCATGTCCCACCGAGTCTCAATGTCGTGGGCTCAACGGTGCGAAACACGCAGTGATTGGCCAGAATGTAACACACCCTCCCCAAATGCGTCACGTATAACCTTGGTCTGTTTCAACCTGTCCTATTTTTGGCTGTGCGCTTGTTGAGTTACGTTCACTGCTGCTGGCGATTTTAATGACCTTTGGTATTCATTTCGTAAAGAGAACAGGCCACCGTTTAAGTCACGTGTTCTTGAGAAACTGGGACCTTCTTCGTGACGAGTGCAAGTACCTCGGATAAAAGAGGTAAAAATATTTTCTATACATTTTTAGTGTATACTAAATTATTCCCGTATTGGTGTTTTTCAGGTAGTGAACTAGTAATGACCAGATGTAAGGACATCTTTATTGAGGCGTTCAGGCCTGTCCTGTATTAAATGTTACCCGTTGATTCCCAATTGAAACAATATGTTAACCCGTAGTGTGAAACCAACAAACAAACTACAAATGGTATACAATCAACAATTGTATACAAAATTAACTAGCTTTACAAATCAATACAAATTACTTCATAGCAATTGCAATGGCAGCACACGGCAGACTGAAAGTGCAATATTTAATGGCAGTATAAACGAGATTTGGTGCTTTGGGTATATGAGTTCCGGCGGTACTTTTACTACCCACATTTGTTATTTTGGAGGTGCACATCGCGTCAAGATTTTGTTCTTATCACACTGGAATGTGTACGGGTCATGCGGAAACTTTCACACACGCACGCACACACACACTCACACACACACATGTGAGGTGAGGTGAAATGGGGTTCAACGTCGCGTCCAAGATTGACATTTTTACTGCAATGTTATGTATTTAATTGGGATATTTTTTCCGGATCGGAACTAAATTTGGGCGGAACAAAAATATGCTTACACCTTGATTATCCCAGGGTAAATCCTATTCCCACTTTTATACGCTTACCTCCCTTGACTATTCCAGGTTAAATCCTGGTCTGACTTTTGTACGCTTACCTCCCTTGACTATTACAGGGTAAATCCTGGTCCCACTTTGGTAAGCTTACCTCCCTTGACTATTCCAGGTTAAATCCTGGTCCCACTTTTGAACGCTTACCTCCCTTGGCTATTCGAGGGTAAATCCTGGTCCCACTTTTGTACGCTTACCTCCCTTGACTATTCCAGGGTAAATCCTGGTCTGACTTTTGTACGCTTACCTCCCTTGACTATTCCAGGTTAAATCCTGGTCCCACTTTTGTACGCTTACCTCCCTTGGCTATTCCAGATTAAATCCTGGTCCCACTTTTGTACGCTTACCTCCTTTGACTATTCCAGGTTACATCCTGGTCCCACTTTTGTACGCTTGCCTCCCTTGACTATTCCAGGGTAAATCCTGGTCCCACTTTTGTACGCTTGCCTCCCTTGACTATTCCAGGTTACATCCTGGTCCCACTTTTGTACGCTTACCTCCCTTGACTATTCCAGGTTAAATCCTGGTCCCACTTTTGTACGCTTGCCTCCCTTGACTATTCCAGGTTAAATCCTGGTCCCACTTTTGTACGCTTGCCTCGCTTGGCTATTCCAGGGTAAATCCTGGTCCCACTTTTGTACGCATACCTCCATTGACTATTCCAGGGTAAATCCTGGTCCCACTTTTGTACGCTTACCTCCCTTGACTATTCCAGGTTAAATCCTGGTCCCACTTTTGTACGCTTACCTCCCTTGTCTATTCCAGGTTACATCCTGGTCCCACTTTTGTACGCTTACCTCCCCTGACTATTCCAGGGTAAATCCTGGTCCCACTTTTGTACGCTTACCTCCCTTGGCTATTCCAGGTTAAATCCTGGTCCCACTTTTGTACGCTTACCTCCCTTGACTATTCCAGGTAAATCCTGGTCCCACTTTTGTACGCTTACCTCCCTTGACTATTCCAGGTTAAATCCTGGTCCCACTTTTGTACGCTTACCTCCCTTGGCTATTCCAGGTTACATCCTGGTCCCACTTTTGTACGCTTACCTCCCTTGGCTATTCCAGGTTACATCCTGGTCCCACTTTTGTATGTTGTATGCGTACCACCCATGTTTTTTCATGTGTAGAACACCTTGTCCGTTATCATCCTCATACTCAATGTAACATCATAATTCCTAATATGAATCGAAACCATAGGAAAATCACCGATATTTTAGATGCGACGATGTTGAAATGCGCCGATTCTTGTTTGGATATGTATGAGTGATTGAGTGAGTGAGTATGGCCTTACGCCGCTTTAAGCAATTTTCCAGCAATATCACGGCGGGGGACACCAGAAATGGGCAATCGAATCCGAGTCTTCGGCGTGACGAGCGAACGATTAACTAGCCTACCCCACCGCCTCTTGGAGTTTGTATGACGCAAAGAGTGAGTGAGTGGGTTGGGTTTAACACCGCTTTTAACAGTATTCCAGTTATATCGCGGCGTGTCAGCTTAATGTGCGAGGAAAGCCCGAAGTGATGCAGGTCTCAGACGTTTACCACTTCGGTGAAACCCACGGGCACGGGTATGGTGCTGACAAACCTAGAAACATAATCGGGGCGAGCCGGGATTCGAACCCACAATCATAGGTTTCTGGTGTGCCCAAGGGACGCAACTCTGCACAGCGAATCGCGGCGCCTTAGACGACTGAGCCACCCGTGCCCCCCTATGACGCCAAGAGAGTATATGTTGTCCCAGTACGTCATATGTGTAATATAAAACGTCACCTTACCCGGTCATAAATGTATGTTGTTAGCTTACACATGTGAGTTGAATCTGCGTGCAGCGACACAAATGACGGAGCTGGATAGCAATAGAACACTGCGGAACATCTGGGTTAAGTGCAGATTAAAATGTTTGCATAATCTGTGACGATATCACTGTCGTGCAGGTTTTCTCTGTCAGCTGAAATGTCTCAGGTTAGTCTGACGAAGGTGTTTGGGGAGCTGAAGTAAGTGGTCTAACGAAGCTAGTGAGAGATATCCATAGACCGGAAGAACTTATCTGAGGTAACTCGTGACCTACATACAACGGAATTCATTCTCTGGGTAATACATTATGACTACCATTGAGGACAATTGTAGCAAGACCAAGCGACGCAAGGAATAACACAAAAATGACAGCCTTGTTTGAGGATTAAGCAGCGCTTATAATGAGCGATCGATGGCTGCCTTTTAAAGGAGCCGTCCGTTATGTTCACGCCGGAGACGTTAACGTTCCCCAGATGGTCACGTAACGTGAGGCCCCTGACGGTAAGAATATTGCTAATGAGATTTTTTTGGATGCGTCTTGCGGTTTCCCAGTTCAAGATTTAAAATCTCACCAAGAGAAAAACTAAGTGTCACTAGCGGAACAAAAGAGGTTTCATTAATTGCCTTAATTATTAAAATACTTTAGATATGGTACAAACTGTAACATATCATGCTGAATACAATTATTTTCAAAATTGCATTGGAGTGAGTGAGTATGGTTTTACGCCGCTTTTAGCAATATTTCAGCAATATCACGGCGGGGGACACCAGAAATGAGCTTCACACATTGTACCCATGGCGGGAATCGAACCCGGGTCTTCGGCGTGACGAGCGAACGCTTTAACCACTAGGCTACCCGACCGCCCCAAATTGCATTGGAACCAGAGGTTGTTATTGTGATTTGAACCTTTTTATTGACAATTTGAACTTTCCAAATTCCTGGACGCTTTGACACGCTTTGGCTCTCGATTGAAACCTTTTAACGACAACATGACTATATATTCAAGTTCTAGATAAATAGTAATCACATCTTGCTTACTTGATTCGCCAGAATACTTATTACGTTATACCAATAGTACTTAGTGTTTAAAAATAGTTCCAGAAAAAAAGTGCAAAAAAATTGTCCTCAGATTTTACACAAAAAGGTTAATTGTTCCTTATGCCTGATGTCCGAACGAAAGTGCGTCATGAAAATTGTTTATGGGATAGCTAAAACATGTGTATTTTGAAACAGTAACCGAAAACGTATCCTTTCAAAAACAAGGATGACAGCGTGAAAGACTTTTAACCAGGACAACCCTGCTGCACCGCGAATGACAAATAGAGCAGTCAGTTTCTAACAGCAAATGGGAAAGGTCAGTATCTCGGCGTTTTGTTGCAGAAGCTGGGGGTGATTAAAGCCCACAGGAAGCCAAGCGTGGCAGTTAGTCGACATATAAAACAGGGGCCCACCGCAATCTGGCAGTTCATCTTTTTATCAGGCATTGCGTATAACAAAGGAACCATCAGTCTGAAAATATTATCATATTAATCGGTTTGGATATCATCCCTCTTTCCAGTTGCCATGGGAACCGACATTTGTGAAAAGAAAGAGTACGTATGTTTGGAAATATTTAGGTTTCAAGAGATTGGTATAATTTATTAACTTTTCAAACGTCAGGTAGGCATCATGTTATTTAGATTCAGACTGTTTTTGGGCCTGGGAGGTCGGTGGTTCGATCCCCGGCCGAGTAATATCCAAAAGACAAAAATACAGTAAACTACGGTTATAACGAACACGCTTACAACGAACTGACGGATATAACGAACTTACTTTTTGGTCCCCGACTACTTGCTGTAGTCATGCTGTATATGTACTTATAACGAACTACGGTTATAACGAACTAAAATTAGTAGTCCCTTTGAGTTCGTTATAACCGTAGTTTACTGTAGTTTATTATGTGTAATATTCTTAAGCATATCCCAATTTCGCCGCATCCACGATCGTCTTTTTTCTCTCAACCTTTGACCTATATTGTCGCGGTAGCACGTGACAGGCTTGTACCCAGGGGTACTTGCAAGTTGTTTCATATACGCCTTCCCCTTGATACAGAGACGCAGGGCTAATGGGACTTCAGGAAGAGACGTATGTACATTCACCGTTTAACGCTCTATATGTTACAGTTAAAACGTATAATTTAAGTTACAATGCATAAAGGGTGAGTGTATTATTCATAATGCCTGAAACTGTCAGGTATTATACATAATAACTGATTATACGTTTTAACTGTAACCTATACATTAATCAACCGGCCACTTGGCATGTCGCTTATTCAGGCCTTATGTTAATATGATACGTTTCATTCAAATTCAACAATGATTGTAGTGTTGTATTACAGTAATTTCTGCTTACGATCGCATGTGGATAAACACAAATATGCAAGTATAGTTGACGGTATTTTCCGGAGGCAGGTTGAGTGAGGGAGTGAGTATGGTTTTACGCCGCTTTTAACAATATTCCAGCAATATCACGGCGGGGGACACCAGAAATGAG